GTAAAATCTTTGAAATTGTTGCATGTTGCGTTTATATTTTTCATCAATTACACAAAACACGAAAAGCAAAACACAATCATATGAAACAAACACATTCTTCAGTAAAAAAAGGCCCTTCAACATCCGCCTGAATTGCCCTAGAGGCACCAATGCCACCAACTTTAAAGCAGCAATCAGCAGTAGAAACAATAACAAAGTCCATCCCCGCCCCTGTTTCTGTAAAAAGCTGAGGAATGTGGCTGGAGAAATGCAACCACTCTCAAATTCATTGACAGAGCTAGGGATGCAAGGACTGACCATCCATGATATCGAAATGATAGTTTAAACCACGTTTTGAGGCAATATATTGTTTGTTTACATTGACTTTGTTGACAAGCATTGGAGAAAAAATACTTTATATTTTGGGTTCTGATGGGGTACGACAGTTGAACTAAGCTCATGAGGGCATTTATAAGTTATATTCTTAAAGGATCAATGGGTAGGCCTATATATAATTGAAGTCCAAAAATGGATGTAGCAACTGCAGATTGCCCCTTTAAGGAGTTTTGGAGCTCATTCCACATGAGAGGCGCAAAAAAACTAAACGCATATTTACCTAACTCGGTGGAGACACTGGGCACACTGGTTGAATCAACGTTGTTTCCAAGTAATTTCAATGAAATTACATTGAACCAATGTGGAATAGATGTTGAATTGATGTCTGTGCCCAGTGGGTACACACTGTTCTGTCCTTTAAATAACTTTCAAACCAGCAACACATAGCCTGGTCCAGGCCAATTAATCAAAGCCTCTGAATAATTATTGAGTGATCCACAGTATCGAAGGCTTTAGACAGGTCAATAAAAATGGCCACATAGTGTTTCTTCTTATCCAATCAATTAAGAACATCATAATTTCAAGACATGGAATATGAGGGTGCAGTGAGATACCGATGGGTTGGACAATACTTTTCTCATCAATCATTTTGAAAAAATGTATACTTAAAAACTGGAAATCAACCAATCCTCCATCGTTAACACAATGGAAAGGTCAAATGCTTTATTATCTAAATGTTGAAAGTGCATGGGCGACTGAGAGAAACAAAATGGTGCAGTTTGAGGCCATGTGACAGAGAGTGATATGGATGCTGGAGATGGGGGTGTGAGCAGGTGAGTCTGGACTGGGGTGATGTTGTGGATGTTTGTTTGCGTCTGTATGTTGTCGTTTGTATGTGGATGTTTTGTATTGTAAAAAAAAAATCATGAATAAAATCTTCAAAAATAAATGTAAAAGGATTAAGAAAATCACTTAAAACCAAAGAAGTAGCAGAGATGATGCTATGACCTGGTCTGAAACCTGACTAGTGTACATTTAGAATACATTTCGAAGTTAAAAAGGATCGAAGATGAGTATTTACCAAGGATTCTTTAATTTTTGCTAGGCAATAGAGTTTGGAATTGGGGCGATAATTATTTAGGTCACACGGGTCACCACCTTTGTGAAGAGGGAGTATATAGGCCACTTTCCAGACCCTGGGAATGGTACCAGAATCAATTGTAAGGTTAAAAATATGTGTTAAATATTCTGCAATCAGAGGAGCAGAAAGCTGCAGCAAGAAAGGATCAAGCAACTCAGCCAAGTGGATTTTTTTGTACATCAATCTAGCACATCACCAATAGAAAGTTGTTGAAATGAAAGTAAAGATTCACTAGAAGCTGACAGAACTCCCATCGAGCTAACTAGAGGCTGGGCGAGGGGCAGGCAGTTGACTGGCTGACCAGGGTCAATTAAACCACCATTTCTTTCACAATTTCTGAGCATGCACCCACATGGGTGCGTGCTCAGCCCCCTCCTGTACTCCCTGTTCACCCATGACTACGTGGCCAAGCACGCCTCCAATTCAGTTCATCAAGTTTGCAGACGACACAACAGTAGCAGGTTTGATTACCAACAATGACAAGACAGCCTACAGGGAGGAGGTGAGGGCTCTGGGAGTGTGGTGCCAGGAAAATAACCTCTCACTCAATGTCAACAAAACAAAACAAAGGAGATGATTGTGGACTTCAGGAAACAGCAGAGGGTGCACCCCCCTATCCACATTGACGGGACCGCAGTGGAGAAGGTGGAAAGCTTAAAGTTCCTCGGCATACACATCACTGACGAACTGAAATGGTCCACCCACACAGACAGTGTGGTGAAGAACGCGCAACAGTGCCTCTTCAACCTCAGGAGGCTGAAGAAATTTGGCTTGGCACCTAAAACCCTCACAAACTTTTACAGATGCACAATTGAGAGCATCCTGTTGGGCTGTATCACCGCCTGGTACGGCAACTGCACCGCCTGAAACGTCAGGGCTCTCCAGAGGGTGGTGTGGTCTGCCCAACGCATCACCGGGGCAAACTACCAGCCCTCCAGGACACCTACAGCACCCGATGTCACAGGAAGGCCAAAAAGATCATCAAGGACAACAACCACCCAAGCCACTGCCTGTTCACCCAGCTATCATCCAGAAGGCGAGGTCAGTACAGGTGCATCAAAGCTGGGACCGAGAGACTGAAAAACAGCTGCTATCTCAAGGCCATCAGACTGTTAAATAGCCTTCACTAGCACATTAGAGGCCACTTTAATAAATGGAACACTAGTCACTTGAATCATGTTTACATTACTCATCTCATATGTATATACTGTATTATATACTATTCTACTGTATCTTAGTCTATGCCGCTCTGACATTGCTCGTCCATATATTTATTTATATATTCTTAATTCCATTGCTTTACTTAGATTTGTGTGTATTGGGTATATGTTGTGAAACTGTTAGATATTACTTGTTAGATATTACTGCACTGTCGGAGCTGGAAACATAAGCATTTCGCTACACCTGCAATAACGTGCTAAACACGTGTATGTGACCAATAAAATTTGATTTGATTAGATAAAAGCCTGCCGAGATAAAATGCTGATTAAAAGCATCACTTATCTCATTTTCCTCAGTAATGATGCCAGAATCTGACACAACTTGCTAAGGCAGGGAAGGAGAGGAATTTCCCAGCTTCAGTGTATTAACATTTTAATTGTTTTATTTGACAGATCACCAGCAGAGTCTGCGATAGAACATAGAAAGTAGCTAGATTTAGCTTTCTTGATTGAAGAAGTGCATCTATTTCTCAATTGCATTAAAAGCTGCTAATCAGCTACATAGTCCATTTTTCTACCCTTGGCCCAGGCCTGATTTCTCATCATAACAGGATCTCAAACTTCTATAGAGAACCAAGGATTTGTTTAAAGGGAGTTGTTTGTCTGCCAGAGAGAGAGAGAAATAGATGAGACCAACTCTAGAGCTAATTCAGGGTCAGGCATGCAGCTGATAGAGGATGGGGCAGAGGAATACATATCATGAAGAAAAGCTTGTAGGGAATAAAATGAAAAACTATCTTCATAATTATACAAGGATCAGTGTTAATCTGTTTGGTATCTCTTATACATTCAATAGGACAGTGATTACTTAGATCGTTAGCAAAGACACCACTGGACAAGTACTTGTGGGGGCTATTTGTCAGAATATTATCAATCAGTGAGGAGTTTGCTGGATTTTAAACATTAATCAGTGTGGGTTTTGCAATCAGTTGAGCCTGGTTAAAGTCAAGACAAATATTCTTAAAATGGTCTGAGGCCGGGGTAAGCCAATCTAAGTTAAAATTCCCTAAAATGACTAATTCAGATGACAGAAAAGGTTTTACAGACTTAGAAATAGTACAAATAATACTTAGAAATAGCAACAGATAATGTATTTTGGCTTATGGCCACATCTATAACCAAAAGCTCACATTTTGGGGGACAGAGATAGTTAACAGAGATAGAGTTGATTTCACATATGTAGTCACCCCTCCTCCTTTTTTCAGTCACACCTGAGATGTTGTAATCAGCTATGTCAATGTCCTTATTCAGGGTCAAGCTATTTCCCCAAGTCTTTGTGAGAACCAAAATATCCGGGCTTGTGTCATGCACCCAGATATCAATAACCTACTGGGCACACACTGGTTGAATTAACGTTGTTTCCATGTAATTTCAATGAAATTACGCTGAACCAACGTGGACATTAAATTAACATCTGTGCCTAGTGGGAAGGTCCTATCATTTCAGATCCACACATCAAAGAGGTAGGGCGGCTAGGGCCTGAAGGCCTAAAAGCGGGTAGGGGGTATGGGCCGGGCTAGGAACATAAAGAGATCTCAGAAATCTCTTTATGTTCCTAGGGGCTGGGTAGGGACGGAAATGGAACTGTGCTCACCCAGTAAATTAGTTTTCCACAGTCTCAAGCGTTTCTCAACAGAAACATAGGTAGGAATAAGGTAGGTAGGCCGGGCTTGTAAACCATCTTTGATGCTACTGTTCTCTCTATGTGATTTAACTGACTTTGTTCTGCTCTGTATGCACATCCGCAGCTAACATTTCCCATTTTAAGCTCCAAGCCGACACAAAAAGCACATTAAAGACACTTTGTAATCCATTTTAATGTTAAAAACCAATTAAACGATTAATTTACCAACAAAAGAGAAAGACTCATGTTGTTAACACAAAAACACACACTGGTTAAACCAATCCAGTTATTTATTTATCAACAGTGTTGTGGACTCACAGTAGGCCTATGCTACGGGTGAAACCTAATGGGGACCAAAATAAACAAACACATTTTAAGGTGACAGCATGGTTTAATTAGAAAATTAGGTTAAAACCAAATAAAATTATACATTTTTAAACTGCATTCAAAATAGAGGAGCACCAGCTATGTTTCACGGGAAAAAATATACAAGACTCAATAGGCCTACGTGTAAGAACATATTCATATCAGGGCAGATCCTGAACATCAGAACATTAAAACACTAGAATGTTCCAATCACCCCTAGTATTCCACGTGCTTTGGTTTTCTTTTACCTCTGGTCTGTTTGGTGGGGTTTTTAGGTGTGTGTCTGACAGAGAAGTCTGAGGTCTCTTCAGAGTCTAACTGCTCCCTCTTCATCTTAGATTGTCTTTTCGCCGACTTCTTGTGGTGGTAGAGTGTGTGGCCAGGTGGTTAGTGAGATTGTCTTTGAGGCGGAAGTGCCTGCCACACTGAGGGCAGGCAAAGAAAGGGCTTCTCACCTGTATGAATAGTCTTGTGCGAAGACAGTGCTGTGGGTGTCTAGCCTCACAATCTGCACTGATAAGGTCTGTTTCCTGTGTGCATGTTCATGTGATATTCCCAAAGGTTATTTGCCTAAAACCCTTGCCACACTCTAGACAGATGGTCTCTCTTACTACTGTGACTTATGGACATGTGTAGGTTGCGAAGACCTGCGGTGCGATAAGCTTTGCCGCACTCCTCATAAGGGAAATGTAGATGTTTTACAGCTGTACCTGGCATTGGTAATGAGGGTTCTGTTGCATTTGACTGAGATCCCAGGTCTGACTGGGAAATGTCTGTATGATGAGACTGAGTAGATGTATACAAGACAGATATACCTTCTTGCTGCTGTGGATTACGGTCTGATCTCTGGTTTGTATTTGATACTTTGACCATAGGGATGGGTCACCTACTCTCAGTCCTCAATGACAGCATTTTCTTGGAGGTTTCAGGCTGATGATGGTTGTTTTCTATCATTGATGGGCATAGAGATGCTAAATGTTTGGCTTCAAGTCCTTTTTTCATTTTTGATGTCCACCATTTCACGTTTCACATAGTGAGTTGCTGTAGAGTTTTTCACACTTCGTTCTTCAGCAGGTTTCACTGGGTACACATTTCCCTCTCAAGATTAGGCACCACCTTTTTCTGTTCTGCAAAATAACATGCCCAAATAGGATCCTCGACTTCCATTTTAGATTTTTTTATTTTTGTTATTGACACCCACAGGAGCATTTTCTAAGGACTGCTTTTTGACTGGGATGGTGCTTGTTTGAACTTGAGTCATGCCTGATTCAATCTGAAAATCATACATGACCAAAAGTATGTGGACACCTGCTCATGGGCATTAATATGGAGTTGGTCCCCCCTTTGCTGCTATAACAGCCTTCACTCTTCTGAGAAGGCTTTCCACTAGATGTTGGAACATTGCTGCAATTCAGCCACAAGAGCATTAGTGAGGTCGAGCACTGATGTTGGGAGATTAGGCCTGGCTCGCAGTCGGCGTTCCAATTCATCCCAAAGGTGTTCGATGGAGTTGAGGTCAGGACTCTGTGCAGGCTAGTCAAGTTCTTCCACATCGATCTCAACAAACCATTTCTGTATGAACCTCGCTTTGTGCACGGGGGCATTGTCATGCTGAAACAGGAAAGGGCCCTCCCCAAACTGTTGCCACAAAGTTGGAAGCACAGAATCATCTAGAATGTCATTGTATGCTGTAGCGTTAAGATTTCCCTTCGCTGGAACTAAGGGGCCTAGCCCAAACCATGAAAAACAGCCCCAGACCATTATTCCTCCTCCACCAAACTTTACAGTTGGCACTATGCATTCGGGCAGGTAGAGTTCTCTTTGCATCCGCCAAACCCAGATTCGTCCGTCGGACTGCCAGATGATGTGATTCAGATGGTGTGATTCATCACTCCAGAGAACGTGTTTCCACTGCTCCAGAGTCCAATGGCAGCAAGCTTTACACCACTCCAGCCGACGCTTGGCATTGCGCATGGTGATCTTAGGCTTGTGTGTGGCTGCTCGGCCATGGAAACCCATTTCATGAAGCTGCCGACGAACAGTTATTGTGCTGACGTTGCTTCCAGAGGCAGTTTGGAACTCGGTAGTGAATGTTGCAAATTATTTTTACGCGCTACGCGCTTCAGCACTCGGCGGGCCCGTTCTGTGAGCTTGTGTGGCCTACCACTTCTTGGCTGAGCCGTTGTTGCTCCTAAACATTTCCACTTCACAATAACAGCCCTTACAGTTGACCGGGGCAGCTCTAGCAGGGCAGAAATTGGACAAACTGACCTGTTGGAAAGGTGGCATCCTATGATGGTGCCATGTTGAAAGTCACTGAGCTCTTCAGTAAGGCCATTCTACTGCCAATGTTTGTCTATAGAGATTGCATGGCTGTGTGCTCGATTTTATACACCTGTCAGCAACGGGTATGGCTGAAATAGCCGAATCCACTAATTTGAAGGGGTGTCCGCATACTTTTGCATATATAGGATCCTCAACTTTTATCTCTTGTCAGGCTAGAGGAAACACAGGAACACCCCCCATTATGGCTGCTGGTGTCTAGTTAGGTGGTAACATTGCCTCTGGATCCACCTCGTTCCCTAACCCCCGAGCTCCTCTCCTTGAACCTCAAGGGCTGCAAACAGGGTCCAGTCTCCAGTAGTCAAGGATCTCCTATACATCCAGAGACACACCTAGACACTCATCTAATGTTAAATGTCCCAGTGTTTGAGGCACTGGCTCAGCTCTCACTGACAGGCTTTAAGGAAACAGGATGTCCAAGGTGGTCCATCTGTACTTCCTAATGGGAATCACCTCCTCCAGAGATATCATTCTGGTCCTCACAGCAGTGTGCTTACCTGCTAAGTGAGATAAAGGGGGAGTGGTCATTAAATCATAATTAAAGGGTCAATCTGCAGTTCAAACAACAACAAAGCAGCCACCACACCACAGTCTTGGTTAGCAGCTGATGAATGGGGTTGGGGTTCATATTTTGAGGCTATGCAGTGTTTGTTTACCATTACATTGTTTACAAACAATGGAGTTAAAAACAGCTTATATTTTGGGTTCTGGTGGAGTACAAATGTTATGCTCATGAGGCATTTAGAAGTTCATTGTTCAAGAAAATGAATTATGTGTGAAATGGCGGTGAAAACGATTTTATGTGCAAATATTGATATAATAACCATCATATCGAAGTAAACTTGGAGTGATGCAGTTTATTAGGCTACAGATTAAATAAATGGTGAAGAAAGTGCAAGGTGATGAGCTTGATGCTTCTTTCCAATATTCTTGTGACATGATGATCAATGCTTGGCTACCATTTGACAAATAAAAATAGTCTCGCTCTTTTGTCCACATTTCATGTGTTTCTTTGCCTATCCCAGCTCCCCCCGAGTGGGGTCACGGCCTGTCATTATCAACAGTGATTCTGGAGCTATTAGGGTTAAGTGCCTTGCTCAAGGGCACAGACAGATTGTTCACCTTGTCTGCTTAGGGATTCGAACTATCAACCTTTCAGGTTACTAGCCCAGCGCTAAAACTGCTAGGCTGTCTGCCGCCCATGTAGGCTATGTCCGCACTAGGTGGTGGGCCGAAGTTGGTCGATCCCCGTCGAAGGAGGAGCTGATTTTTTGTATATTACAGTAAAACACCTTAAATTCTTGCAAATTTTCTCATAAAAGGTATATTTCAACACTGTCTGCTCAGGCAAATTTGCTGAACTGCTAAATTTGGAACCAATCAGAATTCTCATACATACCCCTCGTGATGAAGGCAGCCAATGGCCATTTTCTATCTAAGATGTAAACACAGCCTCACGTGAAAACTAGAGCTGCTGTCTGTGTGAAGATTGAAATAAGATAAATATCTGTTTTCAAGTGCACTTGAAATATGCAGCATGCAATGCGAATTGTCTTGATTGTATGAAGAAGCCACTTAGCCAATTTATTGAAAGCTAGCCAATGTTACAGTTTAACTAGCCTAGCCAGCTACTGTAAATGTCGATTTGCCTTCTCAGGAAGCAAGTGTTTAATTTTTTGGCATGGTAATATGTCTCATTTCAAGTAACTACATGCAGGCCTAAAGGCCCAGTGCATTCAAAAACATGATTTTCCTGAGTTTTATATACACTCAGTGGTCAGTTTATTAGGTACACCACACCGTTCACGAAAATGGTTAGCTCCTACAGACAGTGAGTCACATGGCCGTGGCTTGCTATATAAAGCAGGCAGACAGGCATCAAGGCATTCAGTTACTGTTCGATTGAATGGACAAAACTAGTGACTTTGAGCATGGTATGATCGTCGGTGCCAGGTGCGCCGGTTCTAGTATCTCAGAAACGGCCGGCCTCCTGGGCTTTTCACACAGGACAGTGTCTAGGGTTAACCGAGAATGGTGCGACAAACAAAAAACATCCAGTCAGCGGCAGTCCTGTGGGCGAAAACAGCTCATTGATAATAGAGGTTGAAGGAGAATGGCAAGAATTGTGCGCGCTAACATGTGGGCAGTACAACAGTGATGTGCAGAACCGCATCTCAGAACGCACAACTCGACGGTCCTTGTCACTGATGGGCTATTGCAGCAGACGACCACACAGGGATCCACTCCTATCAGCTAAAAACGAAAATGAACCATGCGTCAACATCGCAATGTTGCTCAATAATATTTTGGCTTACAATATTAATTGGACTAAAATGGATCACATAGCTATTTTAACCATCATTTTCTCATCTCACCTTCATAGGAATGTAGTAGATGTTTTTCACAATTTTCTATGACTATTCAGACTTAGCCCTACCAATCAGATGCGCTCCAGCTGTCCTTGTCATGCACGCTCCTCTTGTCTTGATAGAATAAACGTCTTCATTTTCTTCACAAACGGAAAACTCATCATGCTTACCACATTTCCATGGCTTTTGATTGATTAAGGCATAATTCTTATGATGTCATACAGTGCTTTCAGAAAGTATTCACACACCTTTTTCCACATTTTGTTGTGTTACAGCCTGAATTTAAAATGGATTAATTGTGTCACTGATCTACACACAATACCCCATAATGTCAAAGTGGAATTATGTTTTTAGAAATGTTTATAAATTAATAAAAAATGAAAAGCTGAAATGTCTTGAGTCAATAAGAATTCAACCATTCTGTTAGAGCAAGCCTAAATAAGTTCAGGAGTAGAAATGTGCTTAACAAGTCACATAATAAGTTGCATGGACTCACTCTGTGTGCAATAATCATGTTTAAAATTATTTTTAAATGACTACCCCATCTCTGTACCCCACACACACAATTATCTGTAAGTTCCCTCAGTCGAGCAGTGAATTTCAAGCACAGATTCAACCACAAAGACCAGGGAGGTTTTCCAATGGTTCACAAAGACGGGAACCTATTGGTAGATGGGTAAAAGAAAGAACAGACATTATATATTTGAGCATGGCGCAGTTATTAATTACACTGGATGGTGTATCAATACACCCAGTCACTACAAAGATACAGGTGCCCTCCCTAACTCAGTTGCCGGAGAGGAAGGAAACCACTCAGGGATTTCACCATGTGGCCAATGGTGATTTTAAAACATTTATAGTTTAATGGCTCTGATAGGAAATAACTGAGGATGGATCAACAACATTGTACCTACTCCACAATAGTAACATAAATGACAGAGTGAAAAGAAGGAAGCCTGCACAGAATAAAACATATTCCAAAAGATGCATCCTGTTTGATATGAGGTACTAAAGTAAAACTGCAAAAAATTTGGCAAAGAAATTAACTTTATGTCCTGCATACAAAGCGTTATGTTTTGGACAAATCCAACACAACACATCACTGAGTACCACTCTTCATATTTTGAAGCATGGTGGTTGCTGCATCATGTTATAGGTATGCTTGTCATCGGCAAGGACTAGGGAGTTCTTTATGATAAAAATAAACAGAATAGAGCTAAGAACAGGCAAAATTCGAGAGGAAAACCCGGTTGTCTACTTTCTACCAGACACTGGGAGATTAATTCACCTTTCAGCAGGACAATAACCTAAAACACAAGGCCAAATATACACTGAGTGTACAAAACATTATGAACACCTGCTCTTTCCATGACATAGATTGACCAGGTGAATCCAGATTGTAAAGAATTCCCCCTCTTGGACGTTAGGATAAATTACAACTTGTTAAATATCCCCACCAGTGCTGCCTGAAATTAGCACTTTGGATCGTGTTTTTAAGGATACGTCTCAAATATTTCCATCCCTCCCATCTGAGCGCAAGCGTGCTGATGTTAGACAGGTAAACCTGGCATTAGGGCTGGAAAATGCCAGTGCACCATTTTTTACATGACGGAATTGCAAACTAACGTGTGTTTGACACTAATGCCGCTTTAACGCCAGCCAAAAATAGAGCCCTAAGCATGATGGCATGTTCATTGATTAATTAACTCAGGAACCACACCTGTGTGGAAGCACCTGCTTTCAATATTCTTTGTATCCCTCATTTACTCAAGTGTTTCGTTTATTTTGGCAATTACCTGTAGATTCAGCTTGCGAATTGAAGGAAAATTATGAAACATTTCATACATTATTTTATTGTTCACATTTTGGGGATAGCATGGCATCCCTTGGCACCCATGAATACACCCACTGTAGTAGGCCTAATATCATTACACTTATGGTGTTTGTAGCCGATGTCTCTTTCCATTCATCAAATAGCGCCTGCACAGTGCACTGTTTGGATTCTGGAGTGGACGAACGTTTCTGAATTGATATGTTTGACCATCGGATGACAACTTCATGACTGGTTGTGTTCATGCCACTTTAAAATGTAATACATTGTTCCGTTAAATTACGTCTTTACTATTAGGCCCATACATTGTTTTTCCGATGGAGGCTCCCCCGACTGTCACAGTATAATTTGCACTCTGGACTTTATGAAGACTGTGGATGATTTTCAATGGGACTTGAAATGGAATTGCATTGCACAGGTGAAAGCTACAGTGCCTTCAGAAAGTATTCATACCCCTTGACTTATTCCACATTTTGTTGTGTTACAGCCTGAATTCAAAACTGATTAAATTGATTATTTTTCACACCCATCTACACACAATACCACATAATGACAAAGATAAAACAGGTTTTAGAAATGTGTGCAAATTTATTGAAAGTGAAATACAGAAATATCTCATTTACATAAGTATTTACACCCCCTTTATTTTTTATCCTGAAAAACTCCCCAGTTCTTAACGATTACAAGCATACCCATAACATGATGCAGCCACCACTACGCTTGAAAATATGGAGAGTTGTACTCAGTAATGTGGTGTATTTGATATGCCCCAAACACAACACTTTGTATTAAGGACAAAAAGTGAATTGCTTTGCCACATTTTTTGCAGTATTACTTTAGTGCCTTGTTGCAAACAGGATGCATCTTTTGGAATATTTTTATTCTGTACAGGCTTCCTTATTTTTACTCTGTCAATTAGGTTAGTATTGGGGAGTAACTACAATGTTGTTAATCCATCCTCAGTTTTCTATCACAACCATTAAACTCTGTAATTGTTTTAAAGTCAACATTGGCCTCATGGTGAAATCCCTGAGTGGTTTCCTTCATCTCCGGCAACTGAGTTAGGAAGGACACCTGTATCTTTGTAGTCGCTGGCTGTATTAATAGACCACCCAAAGTGTAATTAATACTGTAACTTCACCATGCCCTCCCAGGCCCACCCATGGCTGCGCCCCTGTCCAGTCATGTGAAATCCATATTAGGGCCTAATGAATTTATTTCAATTGACTGATTTTCTTATATGAACTGTAACTCAGTAAAATCAAATGAAA